TGCTGGGAAGTGAATTTCGGTCCTCTACAAGAGTGCTCTTAACCACAGAGCCATCTCTGCAGTCTGGAAATAAATATTCTTAAGAAGTAAGTATGAATTAAGTCACTGGGAGGTTCATTTAAGCTGTATCGTTTTTATAACCAAGCCTTCAGCACTCTGAAAGTCCATTGTGGTTCAAGACGTAAACAATGGCAAGCCATCCTGACGAGCACATGGCGAGTGTATGGCCCCACAGTGGGAATCTCTGTCCATTAAAGTAAGTAAATCACAGAGCATTATCTGTGAATGCTTTAAAGAATCAAGAATGTGATTCCCTTTTGTTGCTGGTGTGTGCACAATCTGGACTGGACTAGAAACTGTGCTTATCTAACAGTTTCAGACATCACCAATTCCACAGGTATCTGCTGGACACTTACTAAGGCGCCTACAACAGGTGCCTGGAAATGAACAGGGAACAGAAGAATAGCAACAGATAGTAAACAGCAGGCACACTGTAAACAGCAGGCACAGTGCACGAGGCCAAGGCATTCCAGGTGACAAGGGATGGGGATAAATGACATCAGGCAGTGGCGAGAGGCATTAGGAATGTCACCATGGTGGTGAGGGAGGGCATGCAGTTCTTACAGGGGTGGCCAGGGTTCACCCTCTCAAAAGGTGACATGTGAAAAGAGACTTGTTAGTGTTTTTGCATGATTTTACTGTTTATTTTTTAATTATTTATATATGTATATGTCTCAAACCTATAGATCATATTGGCCTTCAATTAGTGAACTCCTGCCTCAGCTCTTGGGAAAGAACTAGGATGATAGTCTGGTCCTGACGCATCATTAGCACCTTGCTAATAGTTACTGAATGGTGCCAGGTTCACCATTAATTCCAGCACTCAGGAGGCAGAGGCAGACAGATCTCTGAGTCTGAGACCAGCCTGGTCTACAGAGAGAGTTCCAGGACAGCCAAAGCTGTGCAGCAAGACTCTGTCCAAAAATGAATTATTAATCGATTAATTAATTTCACTGAATAGATAATGACTAAAGTTTAATTTATATGTTATAATTCTTTTCTTCTGAGAGCATTTATATATTTATACATTTCAGGGTCAAATGAAAGAACTAACCTTTGAGTGTGAAAAACCGTGAGCTATGGGGCCATCCGAGACCGCTGACACTTGGACCATAGGCAGTAAAATCCAGGGAACAGGAAGGTACAGGGAACGTTGCTTCCCTACCCCCATACAGATATCTCTTAGTCTGCCCCTTCTCAAAGTCCAGGGGGAAGGAGTGGAGTAATGTGGCCGGACAAGGCTGAGAGGGAGGTGGGATGAGGCGGAAGGTGACCTTTTGGTAACATGGATGGCATCTGTGAGGCCAGCAAGGGTGACAGATGCTAAGTGCGATTAAAGCAACACAAAGGCCAAATTGCAGGGAGAGGCAGATATGCTCTCCTATCTGCAGCTTCCTAACTGTGTGGTCCAGCAAAACTCCATCAAATGCCCAGCGTCCTGGCTTCTCACCTAACGCACCAGTTACCGTATCTGAGGCTGCACAGACTCCTCCAAGAGCTGAGTGAGATTCTGCACAGGACAGTGCTCTGATGTTGTCAAAGCAATCCGTTGCTCACATACATGCATTCTTACTGCTATCTGAAGGCTATGCTAGGTTATCTGTGCTGAATTTAACAAGGAATATGCCATAAATTCTGGCCCAGACCTCAAGGGTAGAGACAAAAAGGAAGCCCAAAACTCACAGAGGACAGAAATCTTGTCAAGCTCGCAAACTCGTGAACCAGGCAAAGATTTTTGGATCTGCAAGTGACAAAGAACTGAACAAACTCACTGGTCTACCCAGCCACACCCCAGCTATTTAATGTGAGTCTTAAGTATGGCTGTGCTATGGACAATCAGTTACAAATCCCAGCACTAGAGTAAAAGTCTTGCCAATTGTCCATCGTTATCCACCTGTGCAGGGAGAATTTCCCAGAAGGAAAACTATCTATTACTACCTACCTCTTTGGAAGGATAGGAGGCAAACTGTAACGACTAGAAATATCCTGAATCATCTGTGAATGCATCATCATCTTCAGACAAAGATTTGAGATAAAGAAAAGCTGCAGAAAGGGGCAGAGGATGGAGAGGGGGAGTGAGGAAAGGAGGAAGACCCAGCTCTCAGGAAACAGAAACCAATTTCCCTCCACAAATGAGTGAGGAAAGTTTCAACATAAAACACAAAGACTAAACCCTGAGAGATAGCTCAGGGATCAGCAACACTTCCTGCTCTTGCAAAGGACATGGTTTGGTTCCCAGCGCTCACATGGTAGCTCATAACCACACGTACCTCCAGTTCCAGGGAACCCAATGCCCACTTCTGTCCACTGTGGGTTCCTACACATGTACGTATCCACAAACTAACACAATAGTACAACCTTTTACAATTAAACGCAAGACTATCTCTCTGAAAAATAACCTAACCCCAACAATTACAAAGTAAGGTTTCCTGATTGTGATTATAAAAGAAATACTTAAAGCCTAATTGATTGTATTTTATCAATGAAGGAACTGTATGAAATGGAAAAAGCTTGCTTTAGGCAAGATCCATAGCATAGACATGAGAGCGACAAAGAGAAACAATGGGTTCCCCTGCTGTCCACAGAGAGTGACATGAACTAGTGGGCTAGAAAATTAGCTCATTTAGCAGAGATAATTGTAGCGCACCATGTCAGTCTGCGTTCTATGTGCTACCATACAGTTCGTGAGCCGGGCAAGGGGCTGGAGACTGAAACACACAAAGAGAGAGAGAGAGAGAGATATAGAGAGAGAGAGAGAGATATAGAGAGAGAGAGAGAGAGAGAGAGAGAGAGAGAGAGAGAGAGAGAGAGAGAGAGAGAGAGAGAGAGAGAGAGAGAGAGAGGGGTCATCCTTGAAACAAGTATGCCCCCTTACTGTGTACCAGAGCCACTTATATAGATATCCTTAACTGATAGCCACACCCTAGCCAAACCCAACAGAAACCACTCCCTTGCCATCAGGAACTCCTGAGGGTCTCGTGCTCAGAGCAGCTGCATGCTGTCTCAGAGCAGAGGAATACAAGTTGTTTACAAGATATTCAGGATCTGGGGGTTCACAGCTCCCAACAGATAATTTCCATATTATCTGTACAGATGAATGTTTACAGAACCATTCCAATGGCTTCAGGATCCGAGAAAAACACATCATTGGCAGTAGCCCCCAGTGAGGATCCCCAGAAAGGATAAGGGCCATGACTGTCTAGTGCAGTTGTTTTCAACCTTCCTAATGCTGTGACCCTTTAATACAGTTCCTCATGTTGTGGTGACCCAGCCATAAAATTATTTTGTTGCTATTTTATAACTGTAACTTTGATACTAACATGAATTATAATGTAAACATTTTTGGAGATATAGCTTTGCCAAAGGGGTTGCCACCCACAGTGAAAACCACTGATCAAGACCCAAGGAGACTTTGCCAAGAGACATGGATGTTTGCATCTGATTACCCAGCACCATCATGCAGAGCTCAGTCTTTACCATCATGGCCTGGAACTGCCTGCATTTACTGAAACGCATGACTCTAGAAAGTAAGGACCAAGTCTTGACAGGTCACTGAGGTAGAGCAGATCCAATTATCAGCAGGCCTTCCAAGTGTCATCTTCTAACCTGATCCTGAAATACTGAGGAGCCAAGGAAATGACCCAGTGCATACAGTGCTGGTAGGCTACAGAAGAATGAGGACCTGGATTCAGATTCCCAGCACTCGTGTAGAAAGCCAGACATAGCAGTGTACGCTTTCATCCCCACCACAGTGAACAGAACAGGCAGTCCCGGGTGCCCACTGCCAGCCAAACCTGCTGAAATGATGAACTTCAGGCTCAGACAGAGACTCTCTTAAAAAACAAGGCAGAGAAGCCATTAAGATAGACAACTGCATGTTGACCTCCAGTGACCTCTAGTTTCCACACTCTCAAACACAAACAAGTGCATACACACACACACACATGTGAACACACATATACACCACACACACATGAAAATTAAGTAATAATATTAATAATAGCCGGGCGATGGTGGCGAACGCCTTTAATCCCAGCACTCAGTAGGCAGAGGCAGGCGGATCTCTGTGAGTTCGAGACCAGCGTGGTCTACAGAGCTAGTTCCAGGACAGGCTCCAAAGCCACAGAGAAAACCTGTCTCAAAAAATAATAATAATAATAGAGTTATTGAACCAAGAAAAGTACACCAAATAAGAGAAAATCATCTTGATTTCCAGTACCAGTAGCCACACCACTTGGAGCAGTGTCAGCCTAAATAATCCTTGGTTTACAGAACTTTTTAAAGGATGTCTTTATGTGCTTGTGTATGTGTCTGCATGTTAGTATGTACACAGGTGAGTAGGTTCCCTTGGATGCTGCAGGAATTCCTACCGCCAGGAGCCTTTAAGTTACCCACTCACTTGGGTGAGGCCTCTTATACTATATATGCCGATGTAAAGCGCGCGTCCAGCCACTTTTCCGTTCCAGCAGAGGATTGTGATCTGTGAGTCTACCCCTAAATAAATAACCCTCTATTATTCTCAATTATGAGCTAATGTGGGATTTCTTTTAAGCATCCTTCTTCACTTGGAGACCAGAAAAGTATATTAAATCTATGGAGCTAGAGTTATAGGAGGTTGTGAGCTGCCTTGTAGGGGCTGAAGACTGAACCCTGGTATCTGAAAACACACAACGATTTCTTAACCACTGTGTCACCTCTCCAGCCCATACTGGAACCTTTAAACGGAGACTAAGAATAGTTCTTCCGTCTGTGTTCCTGGTTTACTTCGAGGCTCACCATCTGCATCTGATATGAATAATTAATGTTACCACTATTTCAAGCCCTGAAGCCAGAGTCTATGATTGACGATTGACACACGCAAGCAAATTCCCACAATTACCTGAGGACTGAAGACAAGAAGAAAAGCCAGGAACCCACTAACAGAGTCTGGGAAATCCTACCTCTGGGCGACTGGTTTGGCAATGATTTCGAAAATGATGTCTTGCTTTGCATCTTGGTCAAAAATCCTTTGAAATCTGCAATGTGAAAATGGCAATGATCTTCAAACGCTACTGGATTAATGAATGTCGTTTTCATAAACACGTTTGTAAATGACCCCACACTGACATCACCAGACTTAGCTAACCTAACACAATGTTTGCCCTGTCATCCCCCCGACACTGCGCCGTTGTATTCTTGCTCAAAAGTGGTGAGTAAACAATATGGCTTTGACAAGATCTGTACAGTTGTTCCCCTCTGAAAAAAAGCACACCAGCTTTGAATCGCATAATACTCGTTTTTAGCTCTCAAGAAGGACAGTGCAGCAGGCTTTCTCAGACCACCAGCCCCTTAATCATGAGATGGAGGCTTCGTTTTAGTTATGAATACTCGGCCTTAGTTTGTGCTTGTTTCTAGCTAGTTCTTATAACTTAAAATTTAACCTGCTTCTCTTCATCTATGTTTTGCCTCGGGACTTCTTAGCTTTTCATTCTCTGTGTCCTACTTTCCTGCGTCTTTCGAGTCAGGTTATCTGGCTGGGCCTCCCCCTCTCCTTCTCCCTCATTCTCTCTCAAGCCTAGATTCCTCCTTCTACTTATTTCCTCTGCCTACCACTCCCACCTATCCCTCTATTGCATAGCTATCAGCCATTCAGCTTTGTATTAGACCAGTCAGGTGCCTTAGGCAAGCAAGGTACAAATAGCAACATGTCCTTGCCAAGTTAAACAAATGCAGCATAGAGAAACACAACCCAAATTTACATAGTTGAACAAACGCAGCATAAACAAATGTAACACATTTTTGCCTAGTTGAATAAATATTCTATGACAGGACAGTGTCTGTGGCTGGTATCAGAGTCAAACGTCCAGAACTCCATAGGCTGGAAACCCAAGAATGGGATGGAAAAGGTCCTTGGGCTTCTGACATTTGCCCGGTGAGGAAAGACTGCAAGTGTACTGCATGATCCCTGAAGGTGCAGCATTTGAACTGTAGCTTGTGGTTGCCCATGCATTAGGTACCTCCCGCTCTGACAGGGAGGCCAGCTTCTGTACTGTTGTCTCATTTCCTTGCTCATGACTCAAAAGTCAGAAATGACTGATCTGTCCTGCAAAGCCAGGTCTTCACGAGAACTGCAGGGAGGGGACTTCCAGGAGGTGCCAGAGTGGTTGTTCCATCCTCCTTGCAGAATCACTCCAGTTTGGTATAGGATTACCAGTAGAGCAGGACACTTGGGAGACAAAATCTGTTCTCCTGTATCTCTCTCTCTCTCTCTCTCTCTCTCTCTCTCTCTCTCTCTCTCTCTCTCTCTCTCTCTCTCTCCTGTGTGTGCACGTGTGCTCACATGCATGTATGTGGAGGTCAGAAGACAACCTTGGTGTCTTTCCTTGGGTCTCTCACTGGCCTGGAACTCACCAGCCCCAGGTAGCTGGCTGGCTACCAAGCCCCAGAACCTCTACCTCTCTGGCCCAGGATGATAAGCATCCCATCCCATCCAGGGCTGGGGCTCGAACTCAGGTTCTCATGTCTGCAAAGTAAGCACTTTGCTAAGTGCGATCTCTTCCCAATCACTTACACCTTTTCAAAATAAAAATGAGAGGATACAGTCTTTAAAGTAAAAATTCTCAAGTGAAATTTTTTAGAGAATCTTAAGCAGCTTCCTGGTGGCTTTGGACCCCTGGCCAACACCACTGCCTACACAGTCAGTGGACTGTATTCACCTAAAGTGGTGAGGCTGCCGGGGAGGAGTTCAGATGGATGCCCACAATTAGATTAGAAATATAAAATAAAAAGAAATTTATCCTCAAGGGACCCCAGGTCTTCTCAGCCTTCATCTGAGATGAGCAAATGGTGACCAATGCGCTGACAGCCTAAGGCAGTGTTCTCAGCCTTCCTGATGCTGCCGCCCTTTAAAAACGCTGCCGTGACCCCCAGCCGTAAAATGATTCTGTTGCTACTTTATAACTATAATTTTGCTACCATTATGAATCACATCATAAATATATGTGTTTTCCGATGGTCTCAGGTAATCTCTGTGAGAGGGTCATTCAAGCCCATGGGTCATGATCCACATGCTGAGAACCACTGCTCTAAGGACTTAGGAGCAGCAGATATGAGGGGTTGGTGTGCCGTGCCTGGATCGGCCCTTCAAACCCTTCGATCTGAACACCAGCATGGCGCAGGCTTCCACAGAACACACGGCCACCATGCATGAGTGTGCTCTAAGGAGCACAGTTGACTCGAGCTGTGCTGGTGGTGGACTACAGACCTCCAGCAGGGTCTCGGGGAAGCTGCCCAGGAATGGGGCCTGCTGGCTTCTTTCTCCTGGTTGCTGGTGACCTTGAGGCAATAGGACACTCCCCACCCCACTTCTCCACTCCCCACCAGGAATTATATCTATCACTGCAACATTAAGACGTGCCGGGAGCTTTCGAGAAGGCACTGGGTCACCCACAGAATACATTCTGAAAGGTTCCTTGTATAAAGTTAATATGATCAGCTTATCTACTGACTTATCTATTTCGCAAATATCTATCAAGTGCCTTTCACATGCTAGGCACTCTACCAATGTTGTAATTAGGCTGAAATATAATTTTAGAACAATACCCATAAAGCATACTGAATTCCTTGTGCAGGGCATGATATCCTCTGGTTAGAGAGATGGCTCGGCCATTATGGTTACAAGGCTAAGAGCACTTATTCTTACAGGGAACCCAAGTTCAGCTTCCAGCACCAAGAGGGTAGCTTGTAACCACCTTGCAAGTCCAACCCCAGGGAACCCAACACCATCTTCCAGCTTCCATGGGCACCTGCACATACATACACATACACCTTATGTAAAAAGAAATTAAAGGACCTTTACACCCATCAAATCATTCTAAAATGCTATCTTCTGATCTTTAAGAGAATTGTGGGACAAGAAACAACCGAGATATTTCTCTTATCTCCCTACTTCAGAATGAAGACTTCAGGATCAGAGTTTACAGTTAACTGGTAATTGCATATTGAGCATCAAATACCACCATCTCCAAACATTGCATTTTCACAACAGAGCTATGTTACAATCTGGGGAGGAACTTGGACCGGCTGGCTTCTGAAGAACAGGAGAGAATCCTAGAATTCAGAAAAGCTGTACAAAGTTCAGTCCAATCTCTTATGGAGATAAAAACGACCCAGGGTCCTCACGCCCATCAATAACATGCTGAGAAGACATGGGATTCTCAGTGACCAAGATGTCCTTTCTTTCAGTGAGGATGTTGTGTGGGCTTTCTCTGTACACATTTTACTGTACACAGACTAGTCTTCCCATCTGAAGCCTTTACTGAAATCGTCCTCACCCCACAAGATGACAGCTCCATCCTCCTAAAAGTTCAGTCTCAAACTCGCTGGTTTCCTTGATTCCACTCTTTCTGTTTAATTGTGGAATGAGTTCACTGGCAAACACTGTCAACTCTGACCTTGAAATGTCCAGCAACCAATTAGAGGCAAGCCTCAACATCCTCAGACCCAAATCTGCAATTGTGCGTAGCTCTTACATCATATAAGAGCATTTGCACAGAGTTCATGTAGCTCTCTCCATATACCCTGCAGACTGCTCACGATGCTCACTACAGTGCAAATGTTATGTGACTAGCTGTGTACACTACTGTTTGTGGAGGGTGGACAGAAGACTCTGTGTGTTCAGTACAGGCAGCCTCAATCCTCTTCAGTACCTAGGCTGGTCAGACCCATGGATGCAGGACCGGAAACAACAGACATCTCTCGGCACCCCACTTCCCACCAGGGACGGAACACTACAGTTGTTTCACTTGTTTTCCATGCCTGTTACAGGATGTGCTCTGTAGGTCAGCGAGTGCCATCATACCGCAAGATCAGCAAGGACCATGCTACTGCAACCAGGGTGTGGTGACTCCATCCCTCTCAGCATCACCCTTTTCCTGCCCATCCACTTGAGGTGACAGCTCCAGTCACTCATAAGGTCCTATATAATTTGGCTTCTCCCTGCCCTTTGACCTGCCTTCTTCCTGTCTGTCCCTTGCGGGATCTGTAAGCCTCATGGTCCCCTTCCCTTCCCCAAACACTCATGCACTCTTCCAGATTAAGGACTTCATTCTTTCTGCTCTCGTGCCATGGACCTCTCATCTCTAGGCTGGCAGTGAAGAATGCCCAGGGTGGAGAGCAGGGACAGTCCCATGAACCATATGGTTAAACACTGCCCAAGAGAAATACAGAACCATCCATATGTTATTTAAAGTGTTCCAGCTGCAGTTAAAAAAAAAAAAAAGAGGAATAAGAAAAGAAGAATCCTGGAAAATTAAATACAATAATGCATTTAACCCAATAGATCCAAATTTTTGTCACTATGATATGGGATCAATATGAAAAGATTCCTGAGATATTTTATATTCTCTGTATTTTTTCACATTGAATCTTTCAAATAAACGAATACCTCATAGAGTACCTCCTTTCAGGAGAGACATGATTCTAATGAATGTTCCACAGGACATAACAGGCATTGAATATGGACATGTGCACCTGAGACAAACAAAGCCCACCTAAGAAACACACGGACGAGACCACAACATCTCACCTTCAATGACGTTCACACGTTCGTGGGCTTCATGCAGCCCCACAATGAGCGAAGCAGGGAAATCCTAACACTACAGGTGAAATCTGAGGCTATAATCATGCCACCTCTTTATTATCTATGTGTGTGTGCTCGTATGTGTGCACACTTGTGTGAGGTGGGGTGCACGTGCTCACAATATATGTGTGGCGGTCAGAGGACAAGTTCACATGTCCATACTCAGGGTACATTCCAACTGCTGTTTGGGAATCGAGTTCTCACTGGCCTGCAACTTTGCCCGGTGCACATTTGTGGCTTACAGGGCTCCCCCCTCTCTGCCACCCATCTTGCCCTGACTGGGGTGCATTACTCTGCCTAGCTTCCACCTGGGATCTGGGGATCGGAACTCAGCTCCTTGGGCTGGGGAAGCAAGGACTTTATGGACAGAGCCATCTCTCCAGCCCTGGAACATAATCTCAAACACAGAAACCTACCTTTTAATCTTGGGCGCAGTAATGAATTTGAGTTCTATATACCAGATGAGATGGCCATATCACGCTTGCCACGGAAATGGGGCTGATGATTTTGGCAACAGAAACTGACACGGGACAAGAACTTGCCCAGTAATGAAGCAGAAACAAAGAGGAGGAATAAGGCTTACTTAAACTTGTAGCTTTCCCGCTTGTTGTTCACAAATCCATCCGCCAGATCTCGGGGTAAGAGAATTTCCAAGCTAGGTGCTGCTTTCTCATCTTCATCTATAGAATAAATCTGCAAATACAAGAACAATAGGTGGATGTAAATGGTAAAATTCCAGCATGACCTCTGACCTGAATATGATTAGCATTGTAATGCTACAAAACTGTGCTTTCATGACAAAATATCGTAGCACAGTATAATACGTAAATTTTTCTTTGAACTATTAGTGGGCTCAAACAAATACATAGAACAAAACAAGAGCTAAAATCTAAAGTGATGTTTGCATTAGTGACTTTCTGTGTGTAGCAGCATAAATGAAGGCAGACAGAAATTATAATAAAATATTCAGCTTTAATTAGGAAAAGACTTACAGAACCCGAGGTTCCCGCAGAGAACAGGAAAGCAGAAGGGAAGGGGGGAGCACACCAGCAATATTTATTAGTAAAAAAATATCCTCAGGGGACCCTGCCCTACAAGCAAGGTGATTAACTGAGGCTACCCGTACATCTGTGACTGCGATAAAACGCCATGACCAAAGCAACATATGCAGAGCAGAGTTTACTTTGGCTTGTGGACCCTGTGGGAGAGTCTATAAAGGCAGGGGAGGGCATGACAGCAGGCAGCCACAGGAAGCCGAGAGATCACATCTTCAAACACACATGAGGCAGAGCGTGAACTGGGAGCAGGTAAGGCTATAAGCCCACAAAGTCCACCCCAGTGATATACTCCCTCCAGCTTCTGAAGGTTACATCACTTCCTCAAACAGCGCCACCAGCAGGGGAAAAAACTATCTGAGCCTATGGGGGACATCCTCATTCAAACCACCGCCATGCTGTCTCAAGGTTCTGATCACCTTTGGATGATGTAATATCCACGTTTGATTGTGTAAATACATCCCTGTTGTTGAGGAAACCCTTGAAGGCCTTATGCTAGGCATTGTTTCCCGTTCTAGGGAAGAAGTTCGCATTATTCCTATAGCCCAGAAGCACTTCTGAGCATGTGCAAACCAGACACTCTCATGATAGTGATGTCTGAACCTTGTCAGAGGGTAAACAGGGGTATCCAATTTTGAGTTATATCCCCAAAAATCCCAAGTTGCAGGAGTTTTATGGGTCGTATGGTCTGAAAAGATGTGTGTGCATGTCTTTGACGTCTGTGGTTTGGAAGGATGCGTGTGCATGTCTTTGACATCTGCGGTTTGGAAGGATGCGTGTGCATGTCTTTGACGTCTTGTGTTTCCATCACAGCACAGACACTACTTACTAAGTGACCTGGGAGAAATCACTTCCACTTTCCAAGCTGAAGTGGAAATAGAACCCTAAAACCCTGACAATGGTACCATTTTCTGATTCCTGCCTCCGTTACTTACTCTTTTATTTCTTAGCCAGGAAAATCAACACTCAAGGCTTAAAGAAACCCTGCGATTTAATGGTTACATGCTGAACCCAACCACCAGGTGTGAGCCCAGTCACTGCTCTCTGAATCAAAGGGCCCTTCTATATAAAGTGTGGGAAACAAAACCTCCAGGCTCCCTTGCAGAGTGCTTGGGGGTGGAGTGATGATGCAATGCAAATGGAAGTATTTTGTAATGCACCATAAAAAGAAGATTTAAAAAAGACTTCTTGTCTTTCACCAGGAAATAAACTACTTTCTTACAAGCAGTACTTCCTGTTTAAGGAAGACTAATTTAGACGCATGATTAGAGGGTAGGAGTCATATTCCTACCTCAGGAAAACCTAAGTTTACAGAAAGTATGAATAATGTCCAAAGCAGATTCTGTTTTAAATTTGAGACAGGGTCGCACCGCTATGTAACCCTGACTGGCTGTGTTGACCCAGCTGGCAGAGATCCATCTATTGCTACCATCAAATCCAAGTGCTGGGATTAAAGGCATGTGCCACCAGGCCTGGCCTAAGCAGATTCTTACTGAAACATCTTACTTAAAAAACATGAAAAGTTCAGATGAAAAGGCCATGTTGTAAAATAACATTTCTGAAAGCAGAAGAGGAAGGGGGGCATTTGAGGGTTCAAGGTTTTTCACTAGATTTTTTTTTCTCCCAAGAGACATTCAAAAACTCTATTCTGGTAGAATAGAACCTAACACAACCAGAAATAAATAACTAAACAAGCAAACCAAAATGTCAATGAAATCATAACTAATGATCCTCTGCTATACTTAGACCAGAACTAGCATGATCATCAGAGAAGTCTTCATCCAGCAACTGATGGGAGCAGATGCAGAGACCCACAGCCAAACTCAGGCAGAGCTCAGAGAATCCTGTGGGAGAGGGGGAAGAAAGATCGTCGGAGCCAGAGGGGGGAAGGAGGCCACAAGAACACTGCCCTCAGAACCAACCAACCTAGGCTGATAGGGCCTCACAGAGATTGAACCGGCGATCAGGCATTCTGTATGGGGCTGACCTAGGCCTTCTGCCTATATGTTACGGATGTGTGGCTTGGTGTTCTTGTAGGACTCCTAACAGTGGGAACAGGGGCTATCTCTGACTCTTCTGCCTCATTTTGGGACCCTTTTCCTCCTACTGGGCTGCTTCATCCATCCTTAATATGAGGTGAGGGCCTAGTCTTAGTGTAACTTGCTATGCCTTGTTTGGTTGATATCTCTGGGAGGCCTGCCATCTTCTGTGGGGAGAAGAGCGGTGGAGAAGAGGGCCTGGGAGGAGAGGAGGGAGGGGAAACTTGCTCAGGATGTAATATATGAGAGAAGAATTTTAAAAAGTCTATTTTGTCGGGCAGGACGCTGCTGTTGATGGTCAGTGAAAGAAGTGTGCATGACACAAAATGGAGGTGACACACACTTAAAAATGCTGAACCTGGGATGGAAGCAGTAAGTGCCTAAACCACACCCAAGTGCTTTAGGGCTCACCAATACAGCTCTCTTTCTGTGACAGGGTCTGGATAAACTGTCCAAGTTGGCCTTGAATTTTTCAGCCTTGTCCCAGTCTCCAGGGAAGGTGGGATACAGAGCTGTGCCACCAGGCAGAGGTGGGTACAGAGCTGTGCCACCAGGCAGAGGTGGGTACAGAGCTGTGCCACCAGGCAGAGGTGGGTACAGAACTGTGCCACCAGGCAGAGGCGGATACAGAGCTGTGCCACCAGGCAGAGCTTTATATTGGTCTTTCTTGTCCGGTTTCTCGAATGTGAAGTGGAAGAAAGGACCTAACACAAGTTTAAAGGATATCTGGCCCTACATTTGCCTTAAAAAAAAAAAGTCAACATTCAAAGGAAAAGCCTATAATGGTGACCCACACCTATAATCCCAGCACTCGAGAGGTAGAGGCAGGGGAATTGGGAGTTCAGTGCCTCGAGAGCTCCCCAGCTCTACCCCGCGCACCTCCCTACCATAGCTGGACTTCTCTTTGATCGCCAAGCAAGCGCAAAGTCTAGAAACCTGGTCAGCATATGCTTTAAAAGGCCTCTGTGTGGATAACTGCAGGAGAGGCAGCAGCAACGATGCCCAACGTTCTCTCCCTACTGTTTCATTTCTTTAAACAAACATGATTAATACTGGGGCTGGAGAGATGGCTAAGCGGTGAAGAGCCCTGGCTGCTCCTCCAGAGGACCTGGGTTCAATTCCTAGCACTCACAAGGGAGATCACATACATCTGATGTTCTCTGGCCTCTGCAGGCACTGCATGCATGTGGTACACATACGTTCATGTAAGCAAAACACTTGCACAAATGAAATAGAAATAAATAAAAATTTTAAGATGATTAATATTCTCCTCCATGGTCTTTTCTCGCAGCTTCTCCTGAATGTTTTTCATAGGATAAAGGCTACTGAGCAGGATGGCAGAGACATTATGATCTCCTTGTTTTAAGGATACAAATTACCAGAGGCCAATGCTAAATTATAATATGCCCTAATGTTACATACTTTCATACACATAACACTGAAAAAGAATAAAAATAAAACATTATTATATATTTACTCCAGGCATTCAAAAATATGAACCAATTGCCTCAATACTCACTTTGGAAGTCAGAATATATATATTATATATAAACATATATATATATATGTTTTTGTGTTGGTTTGTTTGTCTGTAAAGGAAATGTAAGTTTCAAAATCCTTAATTAAAATTAAATTCAGGGACTTGCACGGCCCATGCCTTTAATTCCATTATTTAGGAATCAGAGACTGGTGGGTTTCCGTGAGTTCAAGGCCAACCTGGTCTACCTACTGAGTTCACGCTAGCCAGGACAAGGGCAAAGAACAAATTACATTAAAATTAAACAAAATTCAGTCCCTGCGATTCAGCAGCTGGGTGTCCTGGACACTTTACTTAACCCAGCACACAGTGTCCTGTGTGTAAAACGAGGACAAGGACCAGAGTCCCTGCAGAGGATCAAGGATAAAGCAGAAAAGGGGCCTGGCAGGTGGTGCTTCCTCCAAACACAGCCAAGGCCTGTCGTGCCCACCCAGGAGGCAGAGAGGTCTTCACAACCTTTGCAAACTTCTAGATTTAGCGCACACCTCAGTTAAGGCTTTCTGGGGACAGGGGTGGGGAGCGGTTTGTGACACACAGCACATCTACTATGAATGCATGCCAGAAAAAAAATCCGTGGGCGTCTCAGAAGCAGAGCAGTTAGATAAGTAATCCTGTGGGCTGTAGTAAGCCAAAAAAGAAAAAGAAAAAAGAAAAGAAAGCACGTGTGCATGCTTGTCTATAATTGTACAATTCCGCTTACGAGCGTGCATTATAATACTCGCACACCAGTTGCCCCAACAGACTCAGCTCCAAGCAGTGTGAGGAGGTCTGAGGGGGCAAGAGGCAACGCCCCAGAAGAGTGCAAAAAGCGCCAGCCCCTGTGTGGATGGGACCCGGTGCAGGTGAATGTGCAAACAGGGACACGTGCACGCGTGTGCACCCCTGTGCCAAGCCTGGGGCTGAGGCTGTGGGCGGGCTCTGTCCACCCTCTGGGCTGCAGTCTGTGTGGCCGTTCCGCGCCCCGCCCCCTCCCCCGCGCTGGGTCCCCACGCGCCCCATTTCCGACCCCGCGGCCCGTACCCCTTGCTGCTGCTTCCGCTCGGGGGGCTTCACTCTAGCGAAAATCTGGATCGCCTGCTTCATCATCACCAACAGAAACTCCGCACTGACCCTTGACCTTTCCAAGTTAGACCTACCCAAAACTTCCTACTACCACCTCGTACTGAGACCCGCTGCCCTAGCAACAGTAACCAAGGGTGCTACCCAAGCAGCACTGCGGCCAGCGGGGATCCCGCCTCCTCTACCCTAATTGGTTGTGAGCTAAGAGGAAGGCTTAGGGGCGGGACTGGGGGGGGGGGCGGGTATGTGTGCTGCGCATGTGTGTGGGAGATGCTCTGGGGACTTGGGTTAAAGAGTTTTCAACCCCCTAGTCTGGCCCCTTTGCGAATAGCTTCTTCCTCATTCTTTAACCCCTTTAAGTCTCTCTGAAGTCAGCCTGCCGTTTATCGCGCACTGAAGAAAAGGCCTTTTTTGGTTGCGACTCCCAAGCTGCTCTAATTCACTTGGAAATCATTGTGCGACAGAGCAGGTTCTCAACAGAAGATCACAACCCAAGAGGAAGGGTGGAGCTGCGTTCCCTGTGAAGAGAAGGCTTCCCATGTGAACTTTCTGGAAATGATGAGCTCCTGGGAGACACCCTCTGAAAACTTGTCCAACCGCCATTCACCAGGAAAATGCAAATTAAAACCAAACTGCAGTGGGCTAAGATAAGATAATGGCTGGGATGTTCGTGGTGTGCCCGTTTTACCAGGTGCCAACCAAGATGGAGAGATGAATTGGTGGCTCGCTGAGGAGGTGGGCACTGTAGAATGGTGTAGTCACGCTGAAAAAGGAAGTTTGACGGTTTTTGTTGACGTTTTACGCAGGATCTCACTGTGCAGAATAATGGCCTCCACCTCACCATTTTTCCCCCTCAAAAGCCCAAGTTCTGGGTGCACCTCCATTTCCACCTTGCATTTGTGTATTTTTGTTTTCCCAGAAAACGAAAGGTGTAGCTATTTTGAGACCCACCAGGTGCACTTTGTGAATATTTATCTTAGAGGAATGAAAACTTGTGTTCACAAGAAAAATCTGTGCATTTGCTGAATTGGTAATAGACCAATAGACATCTGCAGGCAAGGCAGACGTCCTGTGGCTGACAAGCAGTTAGCAAACTTAGAATACCGTCTCAAAGGAATGAACCATTCCTTTGTAACATATGTAACAACCTGAATTAACCCCCCAAATTAAAAACAAGCAAACAGAAGTTAAATACTGTATATGATTCCTTTATATAATATTCTTGAAATGACAAAATTCCAGAGATGGGACCTTTAGATGTCATGGGGGATGCGGAGAAGACAAGGAAACAGAATAAACATAGAGGAACCCTGTCAGTCAAGTGAGAATGAACAAGGTTGGTGATGCTCTCAGGGTGGGTGTTCTGGTCTCAATATTGAGCTACATAGTTCTACAAGACATTCCTGTTGTGGGAAACTGGGGGAAGGGCACACAATTATCTCTACTATATTTACAAGTGTGAATCTACAATTCCAAAATAAATAGCTTTTAAAATCACATTCTTGAGCAAATGAATAAATAGGCCAACCATAGGCTGAAAACTTTTATTTTTCAAAACATAGCTAATAAAAGATGTCTAGAATACGTTTTTAAATCCACTTTAAAATCCGATCATAGACAGACAAATAACCCAGGCTGAGGGCATAGTTCAGTGACAGAGAACTTGCATAGCATGTGGAAGGTTGTGGGTTCAAGTCCCCAGCATCCCAAGAAAAAAAATCCAATTTGGGGTTCTGGAGAAAAGACTCAGTGGTTAAGATTGATGCTACCACCTCCCAAGGACTGGAGTTTGACTCCCAACCCCCATGTCTGGTAGTTCACAACTGGTGCCCTCTTCTGACCTCTGTAGGTACTCTCACATACATGCACATACACATAAATAAATACATCTTTTTAATTCAGATTTTAAAAAGGTGGCACAAACATTTTGAAAAAACAGTTCATTTATGAAAAAGATTATGTGGTTGTCAAATTAATAGATAAAAAGGATAGTGGATGCCATTAAAGCCACAATGGGATACCACTGCACACCTCTTACAAGAGTCAAAATAAGGAACGGATATTGACAGTACCAAGTGTTGGCAGAAATCCAGAGTATCTAGAACTTCCAAGCTCGGCAGTAAGACAAGAAGATACACACACATCACTTTCAAAAGCAGGCTTAGAGTTTCTAATAAAGTTAAGCATATCTTGTCACATGGTCCAAAGCAAAAGCACGGGCATCTAGACAGAAGTGTTCAGGGCAACTTCATTCGTAATTACCAAAACCTGGAAACAACATCTTTGGGCCAACAGATAAACAGCTAGTGCAATCGGAACAGTAAAGGAGTGGACTACAGGTCCTGCTACATGGCTAAGTCTTCAATTGATTATGCCCAGTGAAGAATGCCAGCACCCTTAGTGACAGACAATCTAATTTCATCCATATGATATCTTAGATAAAGGAGAGCTACAGGACACAAAACAGGCGAATAACTTCCAAAGGCTGGGATAGGACATGGAATTGGCTGCAAAGGATCATGGGAGGCCCTGGGGTGCAGTGATAGAAAATACCTTTGCGTGTGTCTATGAGGGGTTCTGCAAGGTTTAGCTGAAGATCTCCCTGAATACAGGCACACAACCCCCTGGACAGTGATCAGATCCCGGGCTGGAAGGAAATGAAGAAGGAACTGAGCTGAAAGCTAGCGTTGGTCTCGGTCTTCTTCCTGATCTTCTGAGATGTGCACAATTAGCCTACCTCTTCTGCCACCACAGTGAGGAGCTGTTCCCATAGCTGAGCCTTTACCACCATGATGGACTCAAACCATGCACCGAAAAAAAGTGTTCTGCAAGCTGCTTTTTGCCAAGTGTTTGGTCACAGCACAGGAAAAGTGATGAATAAAACCTGCATATGTAGCCGGGCGGTGGTGGCGCACGCCTTTAATCCCAGCACTCGGGAGGCAGAGGCAGGCGGATCTCTGTGAGTTCGAGACCAGCCTGGTCTACAGAGCTAGTTCCAGGACAGGCTCCAAAGCCACAGAGAAACCCTGTCTCAAAAAAAAAAAAAAAAAAAAAAACCCTGCATATGTGCATGTATGTGTGTGTATGTAAATGCATGTGAAAACCATATGGCAACCTTGACTATCATTCCACAGATGCCCATCACCTTGGCTTTTGAGATAGAGTCTCTCACTGGCCTAGAACTTAACAAGTAGCCTAGGATGGCTGGCCAATGAGTCTCGGACTCCTGCATACCTCAGCCTCCCCTGCTTTGGGATTATATGTACATGCTACCACCCCAAACCTTTTCTTCTGTATGTTCTGGGGCTAGAACTCAGGACCTAATGCATGTGCCGCAACCACTTTACCAATTAAACTATGTCCCCAGCCCTGGGGATACAGTCTTCTAAAGAGCCATTCAAGTGCTCGTAGGGCATACACACAGAGATTGCAAGCTCTGTACCTCCCGGGGCCATACTTGGGATGTATATACTTTAAGTAGGCAGATAAAGACAGCAGGCATGTGCTGGAACCCAGAAACTAGAGCATCCAGCTAAAAACATTTTCAGTCCAGATGGTTAATGCACAATGTTGCCTGAAGACACCCTATGCATGGCCAGCAGTTCAAACCTGTTCCCGCTTAGGGCATAAGTGACTCGCGGGCCATGCCTCGGACCACGTTCCTCTAATCCCCAGCAGATGGTTCTAATGGGCACACACGGGGTTTGGTGATTAAATCTCCTAGTTCCTTGTCTTTCCCCCAACTGAATTTCTACTCAGTATTCTTATTTGCACCTTGCCTTGTTTAGATGTAGTTGAAATGCTGTTTGATTTTTAAAGGACCCTTGAGCTCTGCAGTTGCCCAAGTCACAGACGGCTTCACCAAGCCAATGAACTGGGCTTCTCTGCCCTAGAATGTGTAAGAATTAAGCTAAGCCTGCAGCGAATTAGTGCGTAAGCAAGCTGGTTGGGCTCTATCTGCCTGCTGGTCTTGTTTTGTTTTCTAGAAGAAGTTTCAGCTCTGGTGCCAGTTCCAGCTAGCTCTGGGAACTACTGGTACTCCAGTCGTAAAACGCGTCATTTTAGTTTACATGTCTCAGGAGACACCAGTTTTAAAAAAAATGTAGGCTAGTAATTTTGACATAGAATATGTATGTACAGTTACCAAATTGCAGTAAACTTTCTCCCCTCTTTAGTTTATGGCTTGAGAATTTCATACAGGCATTTATTGTATTTTGATTAAATCTACCCCCCACTTTCTCTCCTCCAACTCTTCCCATACCCCTCACCTCTTGTCCCTCCCAACTTCATGTAATCTTTCTGTGTTTGTTTTTAAAGCCACCAGGTCTTCTTAGTGGACCAAGTCTGTGATGGGGGCAGGACCATCCCCTGGAACACAGGGCCACCTGTCAGGGACCGAATCCCCGAGGAAAAGCTGACTGTCCTGCCTGCAGCAGCCACCAGCTGTCCTTAGCTCCCCTGTTAACCCTGGGATTGCTTAAGTCCCGCCCCCCACCTCATGTTGGAATTTGGCTGACTTGACCCAAGGAGTGGCACAAAACACTAGGGTTCTCTGGGCATGACAGGGTCATTGTACACATGAACTCACAGACACTGGATGCCTCCCTTGTCTAGAAATCTCCTCATGACCACCCTGCTGTTCACTCCGTATCAGAGGGACAGTGCGTTCAGATCCACAGTGATGGTTTCCCTAGCCCTGTCCCAGTTCTCCTGTTCATAACTTCCTCCACAGAGCAAGGCCAATAATGAAAGCTCCCTGCTTATTGGTAGATAATAATTAGTAGTATTAGTGAGACAGTAGTCATTCATCACGGGTTGCCTTGCTAGCTGTGACTAACATAGACTAACATAGACTAACAGGCGCTGCTCAGGTCATAAGTGTGCCAGATAAACATTTGGCGGGAAGGAGTGAAAAAATGCAGAAGTCTTAGCAGGTAGTGGAGGACACCTTTATTAGAAATCTCCTTAAAGCTCAGCTTCACCCATCTATCTTGTGGGTGGTCAGGAGGGACCCTTCCCATCCCCCTGTCTCAATGGGGCTTTTACCCATTGTTTCTAAGCGAACGGAGAATACACACAGCAATTTCTGGTATTCATTAAATGCTGAATAATAAAC